CAGCAAAATACCTTATCTTAAAAGCAGAGAATCAATAGGAAAGAATTATTTTTGTCAAAGAGAAGATGCCGAATTAGGTACATTTTGAGATAATTGCATAAAGCAATTTATTCCAAAAACTGTATTGCAATTTTAAATCTGTGCTAACTGTTTTGGAATCCTAATTCTTGTTTCTTTTGTGGTTCAGATGTTCCATTGTTTCAAAGGCAGTTCTCCTTTCAGCCTTTCATGTTAACTGTCAAACTGTATAATGCTGTGATTGACACCTTTCCAACCTTGGGATGACACGATTGTTTAATTGATTGTAAAATAACACCGATTATGATCTCATTCTGTCAAGAGATATAAAAAGCAACTGCATTTCTACTGTTCTAAGTTCATTATTAAATATTTAGTTCATATTTAACGTCTTGGTTTATTTAGTGTATTTAATTTCCTTGATGCAAATTAGCTGATCAACATCACCAGCACACAAAACTATGTCACAGAGAGAATGTTGTGCAGCTGTTCCGGTGCCTGAAAGGGACATATAAGAGGTTAGTGGGCCAAACCGAGACAAAATGAGTTTTGTGCCAGATAGACATATGCAATTACACTGAGCATTCAGCATTTTGTTTCCATATTCTCTGTCTCTTTTATATGCTGTGTGTGTGTGTGTTTATTTATTAATATACTGCATTGATTAAGTTGGGCGCAGTACTCTATTTAAGATGCCATCTGCTTGGAACCAAGAGTAAGAGTAATTAAAACAAGCTTGGTGCTTAATGGAATTTCAACAAAAAACAAATACAATTTGTGAGCCACTCTCGTTTATGGTGTTTATCCCTCTGCCAATTACAATTCATCCTCAACAGCATTCAGTAAATGTGCACAGTGTGATGAGCCAAACCTGATAATACTAATAATGCAAATTCATACATAGTGAAGCTCTCAAGGAGGAGGGGGGGAGCAAACATATGTGCAAATATCTACTGAAAAAGAGAACTGAAGAAGCTGATTTGAATACACACACATCTCCCAAGATGCCAATACACATTTTCAATGAATTCAATTAAATTAAAAAGTTATTTTATCGCCGTGTCTTTATGCTTAAAAAGTGATAACAGGAGAATCAGCCACCACAATATGTTCAAATACTGAGTCCCTACAGTTATAGTGAACATTTAGGTTTACAGACGTGATATAGCTGCAGGGATATGCACGCATACAACAAGTCTGTTTGCTTTAATCCTTGTTCAAAGAATAGAACCAAACGCTACAGACATGAGAGTGCGTTGAACACAACCTTCCATGCTCAACGAATCAAACTGAATCATTTTAGAGCTAGAATGAGAGGAGCGGCCCATATAGTGGGGGATTCCACATCCCTTTCATTGTGTTAGGCCCTCCCCCTAATATATAAAGGGATTCGGGAGCTGAGGGGGAGAGAGAATGGCCTTTTTTGGGATTCCATGTTCTTTTGTTTGTTGATATATAATCCCGTTTGCGGTTAAAAAATGCTCCAGTGTTGAATTGAGGGGATGCAGTGAAATCAATCACATCAAGTGTAATGATACAATATCAAAGATTTACGCTGATGTCTTTAGATGTTCATGGTTTGGGTAATCCATTTAAAAAGCCAACATAATGACAAAAGAGAAGATGCATAATACTGTTCTTCATGAAACTCATTTACCACAACAAGAGCATGAGAAACTGAATAGATTTGGGTCTAAAACTATATATTACACCTCACATACATGCAGCCATAGAAGAGGGGAAGTAATCTGGATATCGAACTCAGTTAAATTTGAAAACTAGAAAGGAGATGTATCGTAGTGAAGAGCAAAGTGGAAAATAATGTCATGATGCTAGTAAATATCAGAGAGTAACTATAATGCCACACTTTATTGCAAAATAGACGACTTTTTAAAGCAGAAAGAAGACTGCTGTAGGCAAAGAGACTGAATAATTGACCTAACTTATAATGAAATATCCCAAACAATACCAACAACAATTCAAATGGACAGTATACAGCCTGGCGTTAAAATGGAAATAAAAAGACTTCTTCAGGAAAATGACAATGGTGAGGTAGATCCATCCATTGGTTAATAAGACCACACAAATGAAGCAGTCCAGAATGAGAACATACACGCTACATACACGATTCATAAACAAATAGATAGATGGATGAGATATTGGGTCCAAAGTTAGAGAGATATGCAAGATTCATAAAAAAGGCTTATTACGAGCTGGGCCCTAAATCCACCGAATGATTTGTTGAAGGCTACGCAAACAGGTTTACAACACCACTCACAAAATTAAGGACTGCTTTTACACACAAATTGAAGAGTGGCCAGAAGATATAGCATATATCTTCCCCTGGTATTATAAAGAATTGTATACACAAACCTCTACAGAAGATGGGGAATAAATGAGGATTTTTTTGACACAAAATAGAACAATCAGAGCAGAAATATCACTGGGGAGATGGAAAAGGCTGCCGGCAGGTTGAAAACAAACAAGGCTCCAAGCAGCACGGTTTTCCTTTTTGAGTGGTACAAAACATTTCAGAATGAGCTGAAAAAAACTTCATCAAAGAAGGAGAGACTGCCCTGTCAAGAAAGAATATGAAGACAAGGACAACTGTAATAATTACAGACCATAATCAATTCTTTAGACTTTAAGCCGACGATTGAAACGTTCATGTCAGATTTAATTGATGAAGACCAGACTGGGTTAATAACAGGCCACCAAACACAGGACCGTATTACAAGAATTCTACATACACACCAAGGATTCAGTCTTGCCCAAGGATGCATTGACATGGACTAGCGGAGCCAGGGATCGAACCGCCGATCCTCTGATTGAAGGACGACCTGCCCGAAGTAAAGGAGAATGGCTCCATAACTTAGACATTTGTGTTAGCAAGAGGAACGAGACAGGAATGTTGTCTTAGTCCTACCCTGTTTGCTCTCCATATTGAACCATTTACCCAAGAGATCCATCAAGATTTGGAACTGAGCTATTGGGGACAGGGGACATAGCGTTGTCCTTTTCATGGATGCCAATGCCTTGTTTCCAAGGATGATGGGGATCTTGAGAAATGTAATTTATATGCAGGATACACATTGAATATTTAAAAAACTCAAATTCTTCTATTCAATTATGCGCACTCCGAAAGAGGGGTTTAATATTAAATGTGATTCAAAATCAATCGAATACCTAGGGGTGTATATAACAAAACAATTATCAATGTTGTATGGGGCCAATTATAATCACATCAACCAAAACATAAGAGAGGATATAGAAAGACGGTCCACATGGATTTTAACTGTCAGATCAGTGCAGTGAAAATGAATATTTTGCCGAGGGTATTGTATTCATTTCAATCCCTGTCAATAGAGGTACCACTAAAGCATTGCACAGAATGGGATTAATTACTACCTGGATTTATTTGGGGAGGGAAGAAAGCCAGAGTCTGATACACAACACTCCAGTTGCCAAAGGATAACGATTTTAAGATGTATTGCTATGCAGCCTATCGAGGACCACTAATTGGTGTGTTGTTAGCTTAACAGCTAGATCAGACTGAGACATATATCCCTCTCTACCTCATCCAAAGGATCTTGGGGGAAAGGCTCTCCTTGGACATATTATGAGTATGATCAATCCATTACAATGTTCAAATTTGAAATCTGGTTCACTCGGAGATCTTGAAAAAAGGGACAAAAAGAGGATATATGTACAATTCAACATTTAAGGAGTGGATGAAAAAAGGAATGACTGCATTTTTTTACTGTTATTAATAAATAAGTTTGAAGGATAGATTTGCACTTCCAAACCATGACTTGATTAGATATCTTTGACCGACTTAAAATTACAACACGAAAGTAAAAAGGGCCAGAAGAAAAGAATCCAGAGGTAGAAGTGATGGTCAATGCGTATCATCAAAAAACATAAAGGATTCTTTCTTAACTTTATCATAGTGAAATAGAATGTCAGGCTAAAACTACATGTATTGTAAAACCTATGTGGTAAAAGGATTGAACATCACCTTTTCAGAAGAAGACTGGCATCATACGTGTGTATCACTACAGACCACAAAATCACATAGATTTATTTTATTCGTAATTACAACTCACACAAAAAGCAAACAACTTCTAATGCATCAAATGGAGGAAATGTGTCCATACAGATGCAAATCGTGCACATATCTCTGGGGGTTTATCAAAAGTAGAGCCATTCTGGGATAGAGTGAATTCAGAGTTGAATGAGGTGTTAAGATATATATAATCTTCAAGAAGTGTTCCATTTTATACCGGGGCAATATAGCTAAAGTGGTGCTGAGAGAAGATAATGACTTGGTCAAAATCCTACTCACAGCTGGCAGAAAGGCAAGAAACAGACATAAATAGCGGTTAGTTTTATGGTACAAGAAATATTTGAGATGGAAAAAAAGTCGCTTATTCTTTAAGAGAAGAAGACGATGAGTTCAACATGAAATAGGAAAACTAGATTAGGTTAAAAAATAAAGACCTCGGCGCTGTGTGATTTTATTGACGATAACGTAATTGTATAAAAGTTATACAATATATAAGTTTCAATGTTATATTTTTGTTATTTGAATTCTGTATTTATAAGGCAATAAAGACAAATGCCTTGTTCCCTCATAGCTCTGAGTCAACGAGAGCCAACAGGAAGTCCATTCAATCACATGGGGCTCCTCCTTCTTTTTCCTTTTTTGGTAAGAGATATACATACTGTATACACATGTTAAATACTTAATAAATGAGACCAAAGATGTGGACAAATACTTACATGCTATATGAAGCTAGGTTCAGCATAATTCATTCCATTCAATTTACAGCATAATAAGAATCAATGAATTTCAATATCTATAAATACTTAAAGGCAATACTGATTGTCAGTATCTGCTCGCTCAACCAGCAAATGCAAAATCTGCCCGACAGGTTTCCCCCGGTAGGTTTGTGACAGAGGGCCAGGAGCCGGCTACTCACTCAAACACTCGTTGGCAGAGTCCCCAGTGGCCCTGGCCCAGGGTCGGTCCTGGTAAAAGGGGTGACATCTCTGGCAGTCGTCTCCCACCGTGTGATGTTGGCAGGAACACACCAGGCCCCGATGTTCCAACTCAACGCACTCGCTGGCGTGACCGTTACACTTACATCTGAGGGAAACGCAGGCACATAGCTATGTTAGGGAGGTAAGAACTTCTTTTCCGATACCCTCTCTCTCTCTCTCTTTGCTTCTCCTCACTGACTCAAGTATAGACAGACTAATGCACACAGTGAATGGTGTTGAAGGCAGAGGAGACGGCAAAGTGAGAAGGTATTTCCACCTTAAGGAGTTGTCACTTCCTATTATCTATAACGGGCATAAACAGGGCTCGAGATGAGGTGGGGTTTTCATTTCCCGTTAGCAACTGCACTATTCAACTGCGCACTCTGTGGTAATACTCTCACTCTGTCCAACAGTATCGAGCATGTGAGCGGAAGGGTGTGTGTTTGTCGACATGCATGCTATATTTACTTTCTATATTTTTTTGTGCACATAGCATCTTTAAACTCGTGGATGGTTTCACACCTATCCAAAAATAGATAATGGGATACAGGATTTATTTTTTTCACAACAAGCTAATTTGTTTTCTCACTGCATGTAGGAAGCCTATCATCATTTCCTCTGCAGCACGGTGGCAGCTACGCCCTCCTGTGTGTAATATTTCCTGGCAGCGTCGTCGGGTTTTGTCAAGTGGCTGTGATAGGGGATGGGGACTTGTCGCTGAGTGGCAGGCTCTGTCAAATTTAGCCAGCTGTCCTGGATCCAGACGCTTGCTTGCCTGAGGCTCAGACCCAGTTATTGCTGTTGTCGCGGAGAGAGACAGACAACAACCTAGTAACTCCAAAGGGCTTCCAATCCACATATCAGATCTTTCTGCTAGAGTAGACGTGAGCTGCTCGGTGATAATTCAAACTGAATATAAAGTGAGGGAGGTGACCCGAGCTGTACAGTCAGCGTATGTGCTGTTCCAAAAACAATATGTTGAGTTATCATGTTTTACCCGAGTGATAAGGAAACGGACACCATTTTTTGTAGCCACCACAATTCCAGCATATTTATCTTTGTAGCAGTCCAAGTTGGGTTATGGTTGCATTGATATTCTGTACAAATCATGAGGAGTCTTTCAAAGCATCTGTGAGCAGGACGGGCCGACTTGGCGTGGTGTAGCGCTGAGGTGTGAAGGCATGTGTACACAGAAAGCACAAGGCTAACATGTTGTCATGTGGGTCTCTCCCTCAGGTGTTGCGGCATTGGTGGGTAATTTGTCCTGTCCCTGCAGTGATCCTAAGTGTTTATGACATGTGTCAGATTACATTTATATTCTATCTGAAGGATTCATCTCAACTACTTAATCATCTACTTCCATCTAAAGCTCCAAAGTGCAGCCTGGTCCTTGGCACCACGTCGTCTCTCATTACTTTGAGTAATAAAGCAAAAGAAATGGAAGCAGGACGGACGACTATATTGGTTTTATTCTCATCTAATGGCAACCTGACAGACAGCAAGCTGTCTTTTTTTAATCAGTTTTGCAAACAGCTTTCCAGGGGAAGGTGCTGATTGCTTGTCGTGCTTTGGACACATACAGTATCCATGTGGTACGAAACCCTGTCCCCTAAAAGTGATATTCGTACATATACAGCACGTATACAAATGTGTTTTGAACAAAAAGGTAACACTGCCAGGATAATATTATCTCTAAAGAGGAAAAGGACATTTTATTTTATTTCATTTTATTTCTGCAAACTGTTCACTGCAAATGCAACATGTTCATACTGAAAGTAGGGCTGCTCAATTATGGCGATTATTCTGGTCAATTCTGAAATAATGATTATTTGTCATGTTTAACCACTTTGGATGACTTTGGAAACATGCATTTAGAAAGAAAAAGATATGTTGTACATTTAAAGTAAAATGCATCAATTTTGTGCACAGAAAAATGAAGAGGCTAGATCCTTGAAGAATGTGCTATTGTAAACAATTTATCAAAAACCCATTGGTTGTATTTATTCAGCCACAGAATAAATAGGCCCCGGTGAGGGCCGGTCACCGTTGACCCGCCAAGCAAGCCCGAAGGAGCTCGGCTATAATAAAAAGAGGAGCGCTGGATTAATAACACAAGACATCATGGTTGGAAGCCAAAATCCTAATTGAAAATAAAATGTGATTAATCGCCTTACCCTCTCTGATTGTAGTATTGGTTAAATAGTGAAAAAGTCAAAGCCAACTTGAAACACCAGATGGGACATGCTGGATTTTTCAACAATCCATAATCATTCCGACACTTTCTTCACGAGCTGAATACGAGATGTACATAAACCCTGCATGCATGCTCTGGCCTTAAAATCTGCGCTTTGTATGACTAACCACCCACCCCTACCACCTCAGGCAGCAGTTGTGTTTCCTCCAAATCATATTTGGCAAAGCCAATTAGTATTATAGAAATGTGTTTAGTAATAAACAGGGTTTGTGTTCGATTACGTTTGAGATAGCTGGAAGCAGGCAATCCAAAATGATTTAGGCAAAATATAAATAAATAACAAAACTAAGATTTTGTGTTTTCATTAGTTATTTTGGCTCAACCACAGTTTCATGGGACCATGCTCATGGTAAAATACTAAAGTGACTAATTTTTTACTTTTCAGAAAGGGTGTCGGCTGTGCAGGGTGACATTATCCTGGATGGCACATTTTCTGGTGTCTCTTACCTGCCACCCACAGAGAAATCAGAGATGGCATAGAAGTACGATCGCAGCACTTTGGCGTCCTTAAAGAACTCGTCTCCAAAGGTGTTAAGCCTGTCCAAAGAGATGAGTAGGTCAGTGGCTGTCACCCATTCCTGGAAAAGAAAAAAGGTAGGGAAGAAAAACACTATTTGATGTCATCCACTTGAGTCAGTGTGTTGGCTGCTGCCACTCTTGGAGGCACATGGAAGCAGACAGGATGCAAGAAGAGGAAGACACAAACTGGGCTTTAGTTGAGAAAGGCAAGAGGTGCGAGGATATGTCAGCCAGCAAAAGTGGACAGAGCAAAGAAAAGAAGAGAGGAAATGGAGATTTGGTGGACAAAGGAAAGGAGACAGGGGTGATGGCGTAACAGCAGGGGAGAGAGCAGATGTAATGGGGAGATAATGAGTTTGGTGTTGGAAATTAAGTTAATGTCAGAAAGAGGGGCAAAGAAAGAAGGGGATTAATGGAGACAAAAGACAAAATATGAAACAGAAAGAAAAAAAACGTGAGAAAAGAGACAACACTGCAGCACTACTTCAGTATAATGGATGGCACATGGTAAAGCTCCCTTCCCTGATATGATTTCAGCTCCTCTGTTTGAGCTCACTGCAAAGGTAAAGACAGGATGAAGCAAGAGTGGGAGAAGAAAGTGGAGAGGGATAACACAAACAGAGAAAAAGCTAACGGGAAGTGCAATAGTGGGGTGCAAGATGAAAGTGAGGCCAGGTAAAGGGAGAACAAATGACATGAGGAATCTCTTACTCCAGAACTTTAAAACAAATAGCCGAAGAGAAACTTTCTGTCTGTTTCTTGGCTGGTTTGGCCGTCCTGAAAAAGTCTATAATGCTGTACGTTTTGAAGCTTCTCCCAGAGGTGTCTTTGAAGTGTGGCAATGGGAGAGAAGGAGATTGGAACGGATGGGCCTCAGACTTAAAAACACGTGTGATGAGTTCATCCATTCATGTTTTTCTCAGACACTACAGCTTGGCTTTTGTAGTGCTAAAGCCCATCAGATAGCACTGGGTTTTTGCCTATTTAAGCCTATTAAGTAATTAAAAGTACAATTTCTGTATGCTTTATATCATTTGGTAAAGTGTACTGCACAATGTAAAGTATACCCTACCATAGCGTTACCATGCTAGCAGCAGGGCCCTTGGGGAATATGTTCATGTTCTCCAGAGGATGAATCCTAATCACTTTGGTGATCCCCAGACGTTTCAACTGGCGCCACCATCAGGTCAACAGTGGACAGTGCACATGCCCAGATGTCTCCTCTCCTCATCAATCTGTGTGTACGAGTGTAGACGTACCCTCTCCTCGTAAACGGCCGTGTTTTGAGGCTGGTGTCTCCACGCACTGCGCGCCTTCTCTCCGGCAGTGCCCGGGTGCAAGCCTGTGCGTAATGCAGCCTCTGGAGGTTGCATCGGCAGCGAGGGCTCATTTTTAAGGGTTGTGTCATTCTGCAGTATTGTTGTTTGTATTGTTATTTGTTGTTAAATAAAGGTGGTGAACGTAGTGAACATTATGCATGATTAACTTCAGCATGTTATCATTGTCACTGCGAGCTTGTTAGCATTTAGCTTGAAGCACCACTGTGCCCTAAGTGCAGCCTGACAGAGCTGTTAGCGTGGCTGTTGACTATTAGTCAGTCTAAAACAAGACTATCTGTGTATGTTTTGTAAAAGTTACTGCATTTGATAGCAAAGAACCATTCTGACAACTGCAAGTGCATTTAGGGATACTCCAACATTGCAATAACCAAACATGGCTCTTTTGGCAGCCCACTCTGATCTTGGGTCTTTTGTTGGAGTCAACAGTCCCTGCTGACAACTATCATTATGAAATAATAACATTGACAGTAGTCAACTTTCGTGGATTATTGATCCCAAGCAAGTTTTAAATGTCTGCAAGTTGTTCATAGTATATAGAAGATAACATTAGCAGGATCTCTCTGGTGGTTAAAGTCAATGTAAAAGCACAAAGTTTACAGGATTGTGTTTAATAGACTAAACAGCACTAGAATAGCTGGTTGGCTCATTTAGGATACATTGCCTCTGCAGAATCTATAAAGTCCATAATGAGCATTGAGATAATGTAACAACATTTGGATTCGTTAGCTTCATGGCCGTTACCACGTAAAGCAAAGCAATACTCTCTGTTTAGCAAGTGAAGAAAGGGGCTTGATTGGTTAGGAGCAGGACATTGAACAAAGGTGACACTACTACCCCCTGAGGCTCTCTTCACAGCTACCTAACATGATCTCTCTGCAGCTTAAAATAGCAATGCAGTAAAAGTTAAGAACCAAGTTCTCTTTAAAAGAGCTGCTTTTCAGGGGCTTTCTTCTTCTGTCAGCGTGACTACAGTCCTCCTGTTTCAAAGTAAAGGGTCTTGGGATTCAGACCGCCTGCTGGGTCTTTGCCTGCAGTCCTGAGAGATGTTCTGCTGGGGCATCAAGAGGTCATAACCCCTCACCGGAGCATCTGGTGTGAATATGCCACACATGTGTTCCTGATTGGTTTAAACCTTGCATGAATGGCGTCAGCATTGTCAGTAAAAAGACGACTTTCCAGAGAGGAGTTTTGTGTACTCAGCAATGTGCAATGAGTGGCAGAGCATATAAAAACCTCTAATTAACAGGTCATTTTAAAGCAAGAGGACATTCTTTTCATTTTAACTAGGCCAGCTGGTGGCTTCCTTTCAGCAAAACACTGAGTGTTCTGCAGTCGTAAGTCATCCCACCTTTAGTGTCATTACCTGAAATGCCCTCTCGCTTTCCCCGAAACCTTGTGTCATTTTTCCTCTCTCTCCCTCTCCCAGCCTTATCTCTGCACTCTTCCACTAGCTGGAGTGCACTTCAGGATTTCCAGACGGTTCTGTGCCTTAGCAGCCTATTGAGGGCTATGGAGCTGTTATTTTGTAGTAACCGTAATGACAGTGTTGCAAGAGAATTGAGTGCCGTTGGCTGGCGCGCTATTGTTTTCCGGCCCTTGCTTATTGACTTTGCCCCTGCTTGACATGGCTCCACTGGCTAATGGGGTTTGGAAGACACTAAATGACCCTGATGCACTGCAGTTGCCGGGGAAAACAGATGCTAATTCTATATTTTGTTTTACACTATGTGTGGGGTTCGGGATGGGAAACTTATCTGCAAGGCAACACTTTTAGGGTGAAGTGAGTGGCAGTCATGCTGATGAAATGGAGAGACAATAGAATGTGTGGTTTAACTTTCCAATAGAAACAAGGGGTCAGAACAAGAGAATAAAGGAGGGACAGGAAATGTTTCTCATCCTGTGCGATATGCTCATTTTTTTCTATCTTGTCATCTATGCTGTACTTTTCTGGTGCCTGGTTATCTCAAAGCCTGCACTCCTGGCATGAAGTGAACTAACCATGATTTCTTCTCATGTTCTCATAATGATAATACATGCCTTTTGCACAATACGTGAGGTTTTCAATCAGTGAAGGTATTGAATAAAGAAGCAACGCTGTGGAAAGTAAATTGGGTGCCATACCTGCACAAATTAGACAAAAAGAAACCGTCTAATTTTCTAAATTACCCCTAACTGTGCTGCCAAGCAAATAGTGTGTCGCTATTTGCACTTATTTAAAGTAGGTAATATGCATACATTTGGCGCAAAATCGGGCCCTTATATGCAAATGAGCCTCATTGCACAAACAGTCCAATTCACAAAGATCAACACTAATAGACGCACGCATTACAGTGGAATTATTATTATCTTCAGAGAGTTGGTGGTAACTGAAGCGCATTTAGGCTACAAGGGGCGTCCGTTACAACTCATTTCATTTGGGATGTGGTAACAGGATGCAATGAAGGCGTCATGATAAATAAATGAATGAAGCTCCACTACATTTCATTTTTGAAAATACATGAGAAAAACAAACTAGAAAAAAATGAATGAACAATAAGGTTATTGTATAAACAAATAAACAAAGTATGTCTTCCCTCTCCCTCCTTTCCAAAATCCTGGGATTATATGTTTCCCTTTCCTCTCTGTTAATTGCCCGTGGGAGGTTTGGATGAAATGGCACACTGGCAAGCTGCTCCTGAAAAGGCCTCTGGCTCAGGCTGACGCTGACGCTGACGCTGACGCCCCTCAAAAATGCATTTTTGAGGGGCTCTCACCCCTCAAAAATGCATTTATACTTTGCCTCATGGATAATTGCAGTCAGACACAAATTAAGGGCTTGGCTTGTAATATCATTAGCACATTATATTTTGTGAATTCTACCTCAAAACGGGGCAGATGATGGTTGCAAATACAGCTCATGGTGCTATCAGTTGCCGCAAACCATTCTGTGTGAATGGGAATCCCTTAGGATCCATTAGGAAATATATATATATATATATATATATATTTTTTTTTTTTTTTTATGCAATCGGTCTGTCTCCAAGCTATGGGAGGGTTTTTTTCTTTTTTCTTATGTGATCAAATCTCGACCAAAATTCTATATTTCAAAAAATAATAAGGGAAGGTCACAATGGACGTGACCTGACCTTTGGTGAAATAATTTTAAAAAGTGATAAGCACAAACTGATGATCATTAACATTAAAATGCATGACATTCTCGCCCCTCATAATGAGAGGGGAGTCTGAACACTGGTACTGCATTACCATTGTGTCCCACATCCAGCTCCCACGCTTTAGAACACACTGAAAGGATAACATCTCTTAAATGCATTGTTTGCATTTTGAAGTTCTTACTTACAGCACAATAGAAGCCAATGCTCTCCTCCATTCATCATAGAGTGCAATACCATTATCATATGGAAGAGCTATTAGCTGTGCTTGGTAGAACAGTGCTAACTATGTGAGGAAAAGCAGACATAGTTGCAAATATCACATACTGCACTGAAAGGAAGCACTTTCTTAGGGTTAATTAGTAGTCAGCCCATAACGTATTATTTATGCCAACCACAGCAAAAGCTTAATTAACTTTGATTCTCACTCCCTTGGAATTTGGGCCCACAATGCTACAATGATGCTGACTTAGGGATAGGCTGAGGCGTTGAGAGTGGCAATGAGCCAGTCCTTGGCTTAAGACAATAGCGGTCTAATGATCAAACTAGCAGGTGCACACGCACGTAGAC